GTTGTGTAAAAAGAGAACCCTTTTGTCAGCCAATCTACTAATCTACTCAGCTCGAATTGAGGCAGGGTGTTGATGTATACTTAAAGAAGTTAGCAGGACCAGAGTGCAAGTTATAAACATGAGGGTTGCATTTGTAAAGAATTGTTGTAAACTCATCAGAAACGATGACGTTAAGAGTGTTGAGTGTTTGTATAAAAGCTCAGCTGTAACTTACTAATTCAGTTAAGAAAAAAAATAAAAAAGAATTCGTTTATCTCTGAAACAGAATCCAGATTCAATCCTGCATTGTTTCTTGATTGTTTTGCTAAGTTCTTGCTTCATCCTTGAAGATCTAACTTGGTATCGAGCGAGTGACTCACGTCAATGGCGTACGTTTTGGTTCTCTTCACAATCACTCAAAAGCATTGAAGAAATGTTGCAGGAATCTTTAAGCCGTACCACCTCAGCTCTGGCGTCGAATCTGCAGGTGATAAACCTAAGCTACTCGGAACAATTATCGCTTCTGGAGTTCACAGTCTTGTTCACGGTTGGTTCACACGATTGAGGATCACTTACTTGGTAAAGTTCCTGTCTCCTCCTCATACTGTTAATTCTATAAATGAGAAAGAATTAGAACAAGGTCATGGAGAACCTAAGACTATTAGTGACTCTGTTAGTGATAAGATTAATCCTGCTTATATCATGTGGAAACGCACAGACAAATTTCTTGTGAGTTGGTTATTAGCATCCATTTCTGAGAACATGTTTGGAAATGTTTCTAAGTGTAAATTTCCACCGAGATATGGTATACCTTAGAAAATGAGTTTGTTAATGATTCAAAGGCCCGAGCACTTCTTTAAAGAATCTCTACAGACAACTCAGAAATGTAATCTAGGAATTACAGAATACCTAAAGAAGATGAAAGAAATTGCAGAAAGCCTCTCTGCAGTGGGTTAGTTATATCAGATGAAGAATTATTGCAGTAGTACTTGATGGGTTAGGCCCAGAATAGATGCAGTTGTAGTTAATCTCACATCTAGGCTTGAATCAAAGGTGGATAATGTAACATTGTAGGAGGCGCAATTTCTATTACAAAAGTTTGAGAAGACTTGACAAGTTCAATTCAGTTGTATTACAGTAGCTTGCCAATCTAGCTTCAGTTAAAACTTCAGTCAATCCTACTGGATTTAATACAGAGAACAAGAATCCTAATGTTCTTAACCAACTGGAGCAATTCAAACCTCACCTAACCTTTTTCCAATACATTCCCTCACAGAACTCACTAGGAAATCCACACTATTATCAAAACTATCCTATACTTGTCTCAGAAGCTTATGGAGCAGGGCATGGTGGTCAATCAAGTTACTATTCTAATGTTCTTGAATAGTAACAGGCCAACTGGATTTCAGGGTATGGGAGAGGTAGAGGATGAAATACTGGTCGAAATAAGATAATATGTCAAGTTTGTCATAAAGCTGGTCACTCAGCTGCTCAATGCTATCACAGGGTTTAATACCTCAACACTGGAACTATTATGGCAGCTACAATACTGGTGCACAGTCCAACAAATGCTTGTTTCACAGCCCTCACCCACTCAAGGAATTTTCAGTTCTTCAGTCATCCAGCCACAGCAATTTAGCCCTTATCAGAACTTCTCTCAAACAACACCACCACCACCTAGTTTCCAATATTACAATAACAGTAGGTTTTCTCAACTGAGAGGTGACTCTGTTTCCTCACCATTTCTTGGAGTACCTAGCCAACAAAACTCAGTTACTAATCAAGCCTTTTGGTATCTACGGTGCTGCTCAACCTATTCATAATACTGCTAATATGTCAGTCAGTTCACCTCAATAGCAAAACCAGTATTCAGCTCTAGCCACTCACTCACACCCACAGATCCTATTTGGTATATGGATTCTGGAGCTACTGATCATGTAGCATCAGACCTCACATTTAAATGTCAGTCAGCCCTATGATGGTGTAAATCAGCTTTAAGTTGGCAATGGTGAGGGTTTACTATCTCTCATACTGGTTGGTCTCCTTTACCTAGTATCTTACATTCAAAATGCCTTCAACTCAAAAATATTTTGTGTGTGCCCAAAATTACCAAAAACTTTTAAGTATTTCCAAGTTTACTAAAGATAACAGTGTAGTTGTTGAGTTAATGTGACTGTTGTATTGTTAAGGACAAGCTAACCAAGGCAACACTGCTGAAAGGGGATCTTAAAGGTGGCTTGTACCAGTTGCAAGTTCCTCATCCAAAGTTTTCAATGCGTCAATCATATGTCTCCTAAAATGGTTTAGTCCCTCTGTTGCATCACCAGATTTTAATTGTGTCCATAATGCTTTATGTCTAGTAATCTGCATTCTAGTGATATGTTAGATAGTCAAAGTATTCACAACAAGTCTGTGCATGTGCTACTTCAATAATGTTGCCTAATCAGACTATAATAATGATGCACAATGTACTAGCTCTCAATGTTGTAATACATTACCTATCAATAAACAAATAGTTTGAGTGTTTTGAATGCTATTTCTAATATATGATTGCCCAATCTGCTGATTGTAGTGTAGCTGATTCTACCACTCACATGTTAACTGTTACCAATTCTGATTCTTATATGGTTTGGCATAAACGTTTAAGACATCCAAATTAACTATTTACGTAGAATTCTTGAACTCTACCAAAGAATACCTCAACTAAAATTACCTCTCATACTGTTAATTCTCCTAGATCAGTGAATTCACCTATAGATGGTTTCCCTTTAGATCAGTCTAACATTACACCAAATCAGCACAATGTTCTGTGATGCTTGTCAATTAGGGAAACTCCATATAACACTTTTCCTCCTCCTCATCACAAGCTAGTGCACCTCTAGAACTTGTCCATAGTGATGTGTGGGGGCTGCACTTTATTATCATCTGAAGGTTTTAGATATTATGTCCAATTTCTTGATGACTATAGTAGATATAGGTGGCTTCCTTAGAACCAAGGCTGAAGTTAAGTCAGTTTTCATCAAGTTATCACTGGCTGAGAGGCAGTTTGGCCATAACTCAAATGCTTCAATCTGACCAAGGAGGAGAGTATTGCTCTTCACCTTACCTTACTAGTTTAGGAATTCAATTCAAGCACTCATGTGCTCATATTCACCAGCAAAATGGACGACCTGAAAGAAAGCACAGACATCTTGTTGAGACAGGTTAATAACTCCTTGCACATGCCTCTATGCCACTACATTTTTGGTGGCTGGCATTTGAAACTGCTGTATTTCTATAAATAGATGCCCCACACACATCTTGGCAATATATCACCTTATCAAAGGCTCTTTCACACCACCCCAACTTATGCACATCTAAGGTTTTTGGTTGTTCTTGTTTCCCTTTTCTTAGACCTCTAATAAACATAAGTTTGATTTTCATACTGAGAAATGTTTTTTGTAGGTATAGCTTAGTCCATAAAGGATATAAATGTTAAAAACTGATGGAAACTGTTTATCAACCTAGTGTAAAATTCAATGAATGTGAATTTCTGTTTTTCTCAAGGAAATGTATTTTTGTCGTCTGCATCAGGTCTTGTCTGCTGATTTGGTATCTACCTTCAGTTTTTCCTTTCGTTTCTGTGCATTACCTATTAAGCATACTCATGGTTCTTCAACTGGACTTGCCCCTGCTCTCTCCAGCAGTCAGACCTTCACAGCAAAATCCTAATAGAACAGCAGCAGTAATAAATCCACACCTACATTTGTCCACAACATGTTCCTACCTCACCACAACTAACTTAATTCCTATCTCTTCAACATCTACATATAAATCTTCACTACAAAACCATCCTAAAACATCAACTATTTCGCAATAGACTCAGTCAAAACCTCTCTGCCCCAGTCCATTTTTCACCCCCATTCCCTATTTCTTCCCTGCCAGTTATCACAGCACCTGACAATAATACCTTTTGCTCTCTTGAAGTTGATATCATTGTCTAAGTTTGTGACCCCTCTGATATTTCTCTCAACCCAAGTTTGATGTTATCAACACCCATTCTAGCTCACAAGAGCTAAAACAGCAGCACAATCTAAAGCAGCAGTTTGCTCCTTTCTGGAATAGGTTTACACAATCTGCAGCCTTACTTACTGAAACTGAAACACGCACCAGGACCTGTGATTTCTCCACATGACAGTGTTGAATCTACATCTATGTCTTCTACTCATATAAGTGTTGAACCTGAACCTGAACCTTTATCTCCTTTTGATGCCTAGCTAATGATAAATGGAAAGCTGCCATGCAGGATGAATTTAATTCATTGCTCAAAAATGAAACCTGGAAACTTGTTCCTCTCACTCGTTATCTCAATGTAGTAGGAAACAAGTGGGTTTTTAGAGTGAAATATAATGCAGATGGTACTTTAAAAAAGTACAAAGGTAGACTTGTAGCCAAGGGTTTTCAACAAACACAGGACTTGACTATTTTGAGACGTTTAGTCCAGTTATTAAGCCTTCCACCATTAGGATAATCTTGACCTTGGCAGTGACAAAAGGTTGGGATATTCAAAAATGACGTAAAAATGCCTTTCTTAATGGTACTCTTGTTGAAGAAGTGTATATGCAGCAAACTTTAGGGTTTGAGGATCATGAAAACCAGGATATGTGTGTAAGTTGAATAAAGCCCTTTATGGACTCAAACAAGTTCCTAGAGCTTGGTTTGATAGCTCAAAACAGCCTTGCATGACAAAGGATTTCAGAATTTCATTGCAGATTCTAGCTTGTTTATTCTCAAGCAACATGGTCACTTACTTATGTCTAATCTTGTTGATGATATTCTCATCACAGGAACAGATTCTTCTTATGTTGCTCAACTGATGCTAGAGTTAAAGTAAATTTGCTCTTAAAACCCTTGGTTCTCTTCATTATTTCTTGGTTTAGGCCACAGGAAATTCTGGTGGCATTCATTTGAAACAAACAAAGTATGCTTCAGATTTGTTAAGGGCAAACAAGATGTGGGATGCTAATCCTTGTCTCACACCCATGGCTGTTGGTGTTAAATTATTCTCTACTGACAGTGAGCTGTTTAACAACCCCACACTTTATCGAAGTACCATAGGTACTCTTCAATATCTTACCCTCACCAGACCTGATCTCAGCTTCTTTGTCAACAAGTTGAGCCAGTTTTTGTCAGCCCCTACAGAGCTCCACTGGCAGGCATGTAAAAGAATCCTTCGGTATGTCAAAGGCACACTGGATTATGGCATACACTTCAAACCAACAGTGGCTTTACAAGTAGAATGCTATGCTGATGCAGATTGGGGCAGTAACTTGGATGACAGGAGATCCACAAGTGGATATTGTGTGTATATGGGTCCTAATCTGATTCAGTGGAGTTCTCAGAAGCAAAAAGTAGTTGCCCTATCCTCAACTGAGGCTGAATATCGAGCATTGGCTCAAACTGGTACTGAGGTAGCTTGGTTGCAAAGTGTTTTTTCTGAACTAGGGTTAACACTATCCACAACACCGGTTATTTGGTGTGACAATGTCAGTGCTGGTGCCCTAGCATCTAATCCTGTCTTTCATGCTAGAACTAAGCACAATGATATTGATACTCACTACATTCGAGAACAAGTGTTAGCAAAACAAGTTACGATTCAATATGTGCCTTCTAAACTTCAAATACTGACATATTGACCAAACCTCTACCAGTTGCTCAGTTCACTGAATTAAGACAGAAACTTACTGTTCTCAGTCACAAGGAAATATAATTTTGGTTGTTACTGATCTGTTGGTTGTTGCAGGCTGAAGCATGAGATATGAATGCAGTGGCATGATTGTTGGAACTGCTCTGTTCTTTGTTTTTTGGTTTTGTTTGTTGTAACTGCGTGTGTTGATAATTGAAAGAGTTTAGCAGTGTGTGTGTGTGTGTAGTATCTGTGTTAAATGCAGTAGCATGGCTGGTATTAATGCAGTAGCAAATGCAGTAGCATGGCTGGTGTGAATGCAGTGGCATGATTATTGGAACTGCTCTGTTTGTGGTTTGTTTGTTGTTGTACGTGTGTGTAGTTTTTGTGATTTTGCTGATGAAGTGAATGTAGTAGCATGGCAATTAAATGCTGTGTGTGTTGAAAGTGAAAGAAGTATGGCAAAGTTTGACTAAAGTTTGGCCAAAGAAAGTGCTGTAATTTTTTTTTTCTTCAGAAAGTGCTGTATTCTGCAGAAATTTTCAGGAGAAATGTCATCCGTAAAGAATGTGTAAACTCATCAGAAACGATGACGTTTCAGAGTGTGAGTGTTTGTATAAAAGCCACTGTAACTTTACTAATTCAGTTAAGAAAAAAAATAAAAACAGAATTCGTTTATCTCTGAAACAGATCCATTCAATCCTGCATTGTTTCTTGATTGTTTTGTAAGTTCTTGCTTCATCCTTGAAGATCTAACTTGGTATCAGAGCGAGTGACTCACGTCAATGGGCGTACGTTTCTGGTTCCTCTTCACTCACTCAAAAGCATTGAAGAAATGTTGCAGAATCTTTAAGCCGTACCACCTCATCTCGGCGTCGAATCTGCAGGTATAAACCCTAAGCTTACTCGGAACAATATCGCTTCTGGAGTTCACAGGTCTTGTTCACGGTTGGTTCACACGAACTTGAGGATCACTTACTTGGTAAAGTTCCCTGTCCTCTCCCTCTTATACTGTTTAATTCTATAATGAGAAAGATTAGAACAAGGTCATGGAGAACCTAAGACTATTAGTGACTCTGTTAGTGATAATTAATCCTGCTTATATCTGTGGAAACGCAAGACAAATTTCTGTGAGTTGGTTATTAGCATCCATTTCTGAGAACATGTTTGGAAATGTTTCTAAGTGTAAATTTTCCACCGAGATATGGTATACCTTAAAAAAAATGAGTTTGTTAATGATTCAAAGGCCAGAGCACTTCATTTAAAAATCTCTTACAGACAACTCAGAAATGTAATCTAGAATTACAGAATACATAAAGAAGATGAAAGAAATTGCAGAAACCTCTCTGCCAGTGGTTAGTTATATCAGATGAAGAATTATTGCAGTATGTACTTGATGGTTTAGGCCCAGAATATGATGCGTGTTAGTTAATCTCACATCTAGGCTTGAATCAAAGGTGGATAATGTAACAGTTAGGAGGCGCAATTTCTATTACAAAAGTTTGAGATTAGACTTGACAAGTTCAATTCAGTTGATTCATACAGTAGCCTGCAATCTAGCTTCAGTTAATACTTCAGTCAATCCTACTGGATTTAATACAGAGAACAAGATCCTAATGTTCTTCAACCAACTGGAGCATTCAAACTCACCTAACCCTTTTCCAATACCATTCCCTCACAGAACTCACTAGGAAATCCACACTATTATCAAAACTATCCTATACTTGTCTCAGAAGCTTAGGGGCAGGGCATGGTGGTCAATCAAGTTACTATTCTAATGTTCCTTTGAATAGTACAAGGCCAACTGGATTTCAGGGTTATGGGGAGAGTAGAGGATGAAATACTGGTCGAAATAATAATATGTCAAGTTTGTCATAAAGCTGGTCACTCAGCTGCTCATGCTATCACAGGTTTAATACCTCATACACTGGAACTTATTATGGCAGCTACAATACTGGTGCACAGTCCACACAAATGCTTGTTTCACAGCCCTCACCCACTCAAGAATTTTTCAGTCTCCTCATCATCTCAGCCACAGCAATTTAGCCCTTATCAGAACTTCTCTCAAACACCACCACCACCACCACTAGTTCTCCATATATTCACAATAACAGTAGGTTTTCTCAACTGAGAGGTGACTCTTTTTCCTCACCATTTCTTGAGTAACCTAGCCAACAAAACTCAGTTACTAATCAACCTTTTTGGTATCTACCGTGTGCTCTCAACCTATTCATATACTGCTAATAGTCAGTTCATCCTCAATAGCAAAACCAGTATTCAGCTCTAGCCACTTCACTCACACCCCAGATCCTATTTGGTATATGATTCTGGAGCTACTGATCATGTAGCATCAGACCTCAGCCATTTAAATGTCAGTCAGCCCTATGATGTGTAAATCAGCTTTAAGTTGGCATGGTGGATGTTTATCTACTCTCATACTGGTTGGTTCTCCTTTACCTAGTATCTTACATTCAAATGCCTCAACTCAAAAATTTTTGTGTGTGCCCAAAATTACCAAAATCTTTTAAGTATTCCAAGTTTACTAAATACATTGTAGTTGTTGAGTTAATGCTGACTGTTGTATTTAAGGACAAGCTAACCAAGGCAAACACTGCTGAAAGGGGATCTTAAAGGTGGCTTGTACCAGTTGCAAGTTCCTCATCCAAAGTTTTTCAATGCGTCAATTCATATGTCTCCAAAACTGGTTTGTCCCTACTGTTGCATCACCAGATTTTAATTGTGTCAATAATCTTTATTGTCTAGTAATCTGCATTCTAGTGATATGTTAGATAGTCAGTATTCACACAAGTCTGTGCATTGTGCTACTCAAATAATGTTGCCTCATTCAGAACTATAATAATGATGCACAATGTACTAGCTCTCAATGTTGTAATACATTACCTACAATAAAACAAATAGTTTGAGTGTTTTGAATGTTATTTCTAATAATATGATTGCCCAATCTGCTGATTGTGTGTACTGATTCTACCACTCACAATGCTTTAACTGTTCCAATTCTGATTCTTATATGTTTGGCATAACGTTTAAGACATCCAAATTCAACTATTTTACGTAAATTCTTGCAACTCTACCAAAGAATACCTCACCTAAAATTACCTCTCATACTGTTAATTCCTCCCTAGTCAGCTGAATTCACCTATAGATGGTTTCCCTTTAGATCAGTCTCATATCACCAAAATCAGCATATGTTCTGTGATGCTTGTCAATTAGGGAAACTCCATAATAACACTTTTCCCTCCTCCTCATCACAAGCTAGTGCACCTCTAGAACTTGTCCATAGTTGATGTGTGGGGCCTCACCTTTATTATCATCTGAAGGTTTTAGATATTATGTCCATTTCTTGATGACTATAGTAGATATAGGTGGCTGTTTCCTCTTAGAACCAAGGCTGAAGTTAAGTCAGTTTTCATCAAGTTTCATCACTTGGCTGAGAGGCAGTTGGCCATAACTCAATGCTTACAATCTGACCAAGGAGGAGAGTATATTGCTCTTCATCCTTACCTTACTAGTTTAGGAATTCAATTCGCACTCATGTGCTCATATTCACCAGCAAAATGGCAGACCTGAAAGAAAGCACAGACATCTTGTTGAGACAGGTTAACTCTCCTTGCACATGCCTCTATGCCCTACATTTTTGGTGGCTGCATTTGAAACGGCTGTATTTCTTATAAATAGAATGCCCACACACACCCTTGGCAATATCACCTTATCAAAGCGCTTTCACACCACCCCAACTTTGCACATCTTAAGGTTTTTGGTTGTCTTGTTTCCCTTTTCTTAACCTCTTAATAAACATAAGTTTGATTCATACTGAGAAATGTTTCTTTGTAGGTTATAGCTTAGTCCATAAAGGATATAAATGTTTAAAACCTGATGGCAAACTGTTTATCACACCTAGTGTAAAATTCAATGAATGTGAATTTCTGTTTTCTCAAGGAAATGTATTTTTGTCGTCTGCATCTAGTCCTTTGTCTCTGATTCGGTTATTTCACCTTCAGTTTTTCCTTTCGTTTCTGTGCATTCACCTATTAAGCATACTCATGGTTCTTCAACTGGACTTGCCCCTTGCTCCTCTCCAGCAGTCAACCTTCCCAGCAAAATCCTAATGTACAGCAGCAGGTAATAAATCCACACCTACATTTTCCACACATGTTCCTACCTCACCACACTTAACTTAATTCCTATCTCTTCAACATCTACATAAAATCTTCACTACAAAACCATCCTAACACATCAACTATTTCGCATTTAGACTCAGTCAAAACCTCATCTGCCCCAGTCCATTTTTCACCACATTCCCTATTCTTCCCTGCCAGTTACTCCAGCACCTGACATAATACCTTCTTGCTCTCTTGAAGTTGATTTATCATTGTCTAAGTTTGCTGACACCTCTGATATTTCTCTCAACCCAAATTTATGTTATCAACACCCATTCTAAGCTCACAAGAGCTAAAACACAGCACAATCTAAAGCAGCAGTTTGCTCTCTTTCTGGATAGGTTCTTACCCTCAATCTGCAGCCTTACTTACTGAAACTGATAACACTGCACCAGGACCTGTGATTTCTCCACTGACAGTGTTGAATCTACATCTATGTCTTCTACTCATATAAGTTTGAACCTGAACGAACCTTATCTCCTTTTGATGCCTTAGCTAATGATATGGAAGCTGCCATGCAGGATGAATTAATTCATTGCTCAAAAATGAAACCTGGAAACTTGTTCCTCTCACTCGATCTCAATGTAGTAGGAAACAAGTGGGTTTTTAGAGTGAAATATAATGCAGATGGTACTTTACAAAAGTACAAAGGTAGACTTGTGCCAAGGGTTTTCAACAAACACCAGGACTTGACTATTTTGAGACTTTAGTCCAGTTATTAAGCTCTCCCCATTAGGATAATCTTGACCTTGGCAGTGACAAAAGGTTTGGGATATTCAACAATTACGTAAATAATGCCTTTCTTAATGGTACTCTTGTTGAAGAAGTGTAT